CATAGGCCAGCCGCGAGGCTCTGGCCGAGCGGGCGCTCTCTGAGGCCCATATCCCCGCGGGGCCCGCAGTGTGCCTCCTGGCCTCCCCTCCTTCCCTCGCTCCCCCCCTATCCTCTGCTTCTCTCTTCCTCAGTCAGTCCTCCCCCCTTTCCTGCAACCGCTCCCGTCTTCCCTTCTCCTCACACGTTTCGCTTCCCAGTCTTACTCCTCCACCATGACTTCAGTCTCGCATCCTTCCTCCCCTCCTTCCTCCTTCCCTCCCTCCTGCCTTCCGCTGGCGACTGACCCGTTCGCCCTTGGCCCATGGCTTGCTTGTTGGCCCTTTGCGCGTGATATTCCCAGTTCGCGTGGTGCCCCCCCTCTTTGCCGCATGGCCTCTGGACGAAACTCCAAGCTCCTCCGCGTGCAGAAGATGCCAGTGTGAGGAAATGAAAGAGACTGTTGGTACTTCTCTCAGGCATGTAACGGTCGCTACCCTAGCCAAGCCTCCCCCCCAAGGTACGGTAGGTTCATGCGGTGTTGGCGCGCCGGCGACGCCGGCGACGGCGTGTAAGGTTGAATCTTGCGACGTGGAAGCACTGAGGGACGCGGTAACGTCACTGGACCCGACAGAATTCAACCTTGAACGATCGGGGCCGCGATCGATACAAGGTTGAACGATCGACGCGGTGTCAAAAACCTTTGCGCACGTCGACGCCGCACGAACCTACCGTACCGGTAATGACCGTACGTAGGGAGTGAGCCTGGAGCCCCCGCCCAAATGTTGGTGCTCGCGCCCAAACTACGGCGATCACAACGCACCCCCGCCCCGACGTGCCCCACCCCGCCCGAGCGTTACTGACGTTGCTGTTATCCCAGACCCCCCCACCCCAGGAAACAACCATTACTCGAAGTACGATTCAAAGACAAGGCAACGGATTTGGAATCCAGTCCAGGGTTCTTGTAGGTATTCATCGCGCGCCCCGCGGTCGAGTTCGATCGGCGTTGTTTGGGCCATGCTCGCAGCACAGCCTCTTGAGTAGGCTTGCTACACGTTCTGGGTGAGATTTCTGCATAAGCCTAGTGCGTTGTCTTCCTTGTCCGTGGTGCTGGAAAGCCCCCTTGAGGGGCAGCGAATTCTTTCTCAGTCATGCTTTGTTGCAGGAGCAAAACAAGGTCAACGAATTTGGAATCCAGGGGAAGCATCTGGAAGCGAACAGGAGGTTAGAGGAAGCAGCAGGCGTACCTAGACCGGCCACAGTCAGCAGTACCCGGCATACCGAACATAGCTTGCCAGAGACAGGCAGGGCTAGAGTGAGGGCCAGGAGGAGCAATATGTTCAGGAAGATGATGCGGATTAGGAGGGCCAGGGGGTCGAGGAGGAGGAGGAGGAGGAGGAGGACGGCGACGCCGACGAGGACGATGGATAGCAGCAGCATGATGAGGAGTTGGAACAGGGGGGATGGAGAGACCGAGAGAAGGACAGGGAGATAAGATAGGAGGCCGAGGAGCAGAGCAGCATCACCCGCAGCATCAGCCCATCACGGGCCGATGCTTGCAGCATGGTGTCGGGTCGCGCGGCCGGGAGCGAGCACCGGTGGCCCTCGACGCCAGAGGCAAGACAGCCTGCCAGAGGCGCCGCTGATCTGCTGAGGAGGCTGGGTGGATCGCGGGCAGGCTGTGCGGGGTCGTCGAGTGGGTCGCGGGCAGCGTGGCGCGGGGCGTGTCGCGCGTGCGTCGCCCGACGGGTCGCAGAGCGGGCCGCGGGTGGGCCGCGCGAGCGGGCCGCGGGTGGGCCGCGCGAGCGGGTCGCGGGGCGACGACGGCAAGAGCTACAACGACGACCCGCACTGCGGAAAGCCAATTCATACAGGGCACCCAGGGACATCATAAGACCGGTCGGCCCCCCTCACCCTCACCTAGTCTGAAGGCAGTTAAACGGCGCGGCAGGCAACACATCTTGCAACGCAGAATTTTCACCTGGCGAAGGATCAAACGATATGCAAGTGCGCGTATCGCGCGGCAGGTGGGACGAAGGATGGGGAGCTCACTATAATGTAGCAGCGAAACGTGAGAGGTGTGCCGAAGCGAGCGGGGCGGCCTCGTGTGGACGCACTCACCGGGGCCTCAGTTTGAACTCCACATGGGGCCACGATGCGACGAAAACGTGTCAGTGGTGCGCCGGAATGAGCGGGGAATGTCATGTAGACGCACCCACTGAGGCTTTAGCTTGAGCTAAATTGGTGGGGCGGGCGCATGTGAACACCAAGTGGGGCATGAGGTGTAGCTCCCTACTGGGCCACGAAGCGTTTCAGGGGTGTGCCGAAATGGGTGAGGCGGACGCTTATCGACACACCTAGTGTGGCCTGAGGTGGAGCTCCCTGTGTGGCCACGAATCGTGTGGGGGCTTTGCCGAAACGGGAGGGGGCGGACGCATGTGGACGTGCCCAGTGTGGCCTTAGGTGGAGCTCCCCATGTGGGCACGACACGGGTGAGGGGTGTGCCGAAAATGGTTGGGCGGACGCATGTGGACCTACCCATTGGGGCCCCAGGTGAAATCCCCTGTGATGCAACGAAACGTGTAAAGAGTGGGCCGAAACGGGAGTGGGGGTGGGCGGACGCATGTCAACACACACGCTGTTGCCTTAGATGGAGCCCCCCATGGGGCGGCGGAACGTGTGAGTGGTGTGCCGAAATGGGTGGGGCGAAGGCATCTGGACGCACCCACTGGGGCCTCAGGTGGAGCTCCCTATGGGGTTACACATCCCGTGAAGAGTGTGCCGAAATGGGTGGGACGGAGGCATGTGGACACAGCCAGTGTGGCCTTAGGTGAAGCGCGTGAGCTGTAGGGCGGACGCATGTGGACACACCAAGTGTGGCCTTACATGAGGCCCTCCATGGGGGCAGGCAACGTGTGAGGAGTGGGCCAGAATTTGTGAGGCGGTCGCGTGTGGACACACCCAGTGTGGTTTTAGGTGGGGCTCCCTATAGGGGCAGGGAACGTGTGAGGAGTGGGCCGACATGAGTGGGGCGGCCGCGTGTGGACACACCCAGTGTGGTATTAGCTGGAGTTCCTTATGGGGCCACCAAGCGTGTGAGGGGTGTGCCGTCACGGGTAGGGGGGGGGGCGCGTGTGGACTGCGCCACGGGCACCTCCGGTGGAGCTCCCTATGAGGCCACGCAACGTGAGAGGGATGTGCCGACATGGGTGGGGCGGACGCATGTGGACACACCGAGTGTGGTCACAGGTGGAGTTCCCTTCGGTGCACGAAGCGTGTGAGAGTTGTGCCGAAATGGGCGAGGCGGACGTATGTGGACACACCCAGTGCGGCCTTAGGTGGAGCTCCCTGTGGGGACACCTAAACGCGAGAGGGGTGTGCCGCAATGGGTGGGGCGGACGCACGTGGACTCACCCAGCGTGGCGTTCGGTAGAGCTCCTTCTGGGGACACGAACCGCGGGAGTGGTGTGCCGAAATCGGAGGGGGCGGAGGCATATGGACACACCCATTGTGGCTTTCGGTGGAGTTCCTCATAGGGGGCACGCAACGTGTGAGTGTGCCAAAATGCGTGAGGTGTGGCCTCAAGTGGAGCTCCTTGTGTGGACCCGAAGCGTGTGAGCGGTGTGCTGACATGTGTGGGGCGGATGCATGTGGACGCACCCGCGGGGGCCTCAGGCGGAGCTCCCTATAGGGGCACGAGACGAGTGAGGGGTGTGGGGCGGACGCATGTGGACACAGTGTAGCCTGAGGTGGAGCCCCCCTATGGGGCACGAGCCGTTTGAGGAGTGCGCCGAAAACGGGTTGGGCGGATGCATGTGGACACACCCAGTGTGGCTTCAGGTGGAGCTCCTTATAGGGCCACGGAGCGAGTGAGAGGGGGGCCGGAACGGGAGGGGGCGGAGGCATGGGCAGAGGCCGAGACGGGAGGAGAAAGGAGGGAGGAGGAGGAGGAGGAGGAGGAGGAGGAGGAGGAGGAGGAGGAGGAGGAGGAGGAGGAGGAGGAGGAGGAGGAGGAGGAGGAGGAGGAGGAGGAGGAGGAGAGGGGAGAGGAGGACGCGGCGCGCTGTCCATTCAAATCGAGGACCCAACACCACATGACAGGTGGGAAGCAACAGCAATTCGGCAACAGCTGCAACGCCAAACATGCAGTGCGTAAGACGTGTATTTCCAGCTGCTGCTCCGTCAAGCCATCCTGGAACCTCCCCACACCGCTCCTGCCACCAACGCGGAAGCCAAATCTTATTCAATATTCTTATGGGAGCAACTTACGCAGCGGTAAACGGTAGCAGCCCAAACGACACGAAGATGCAACGCAAACAGGCCGCAAGGCCGATACTTTCAGTTTCCTTGATTGTCGTACCAGCCGCTCTGCTCGTCGAGCGAATACTTCAGCCAATCCAGTGTAATCTGCACAGCCAGGGGGGCCCCATATGGGGCCAGCGGGTTCAAGACTTGCAAATCTGTGAGGTGTCTGCCGCCGGTGGTGAAGATACCAGAACACAGTACGGCGGTTGAGAAACGAGCTGAGAAGGACGAAAACGGTCAGAGGGGCGATGGAGGGCCAGGCGCGTTGGATCCAGGACATCTGATTTGCCTGCCTCCCTCTCTTCTTAAGTTGGATGGGGAGGGCCTTTTTGGATTTCGAGCGATCCGCTCCCGCATGGTCTCAGGAGACCCGGGTCCATCGTCGGGCCGTTCCGTTGCGAGTTGCCGTTCCGCTTGTCGATGAGGGGGGCCGTGGATGGGCCACTTGTAGATGGGCTGAGCCAGCCAGATCATGATCAGGATCAGGCCGTGGATGCGCATGGTGCCGGGGAGGTGTTTCTAAGGGCGGGGTCCCCCCCGAAATCTGACAGATTATCCCGATGTCCCTTTCCAGATCTGTTGCTCTCAGTCCCAGCTGCTGGCACATAGCCTAGCGGCGTGCCCATAGGTGCTTGTGACAGCGCAGTCGGCGGCTACGGCCCAAATACGTCATTGAACATTGCAACGGGCAGACATTTCTTCTCCTCTCGATGCAAGGTGGGTGTGCTCGCCGCGTGGAGGGTTGTCGTCGCCGTGCTGACAGGGCTCGTGGCCTGCTGCGTGATCTCCTGCCTCGCCTGGCGCCAGGCAGCTCTGCGGGTCAATGATAGCAACTGTGCATGCTGCATGTACTTTACCATTGCAAGGGACAAGTTGACATGCGCAACGCACGCCGACACTACGTATGCAGAATGACCCAATACGGCTGAGACAGTCCATCGATCTTTTGGGGTACGCGTCAAGGATCAATGCCCACAGGTGGATGATACTGGTACGATCTGGTGCGCGAAACCATGCTGCAAATGAGGGCCATTATGAGCTGTTGTGCACAATGAATGAACTACTTGACGATTTAATGCTGTTCGCGATCAACGCCCGCCAGTTGTCCTTTGGGGAGCAGGCAGCGGCAGTATCATAGCAGGCCTAGAAGGGCCGCGAGCCAACCAGGATGGATCTTAAGCTAGCCAGAACGCACGCCGCATTCCAGAGGGCCTCAATAGGGGCCAAGGGGGTTCCAGCATTGCCATAACATGACACCTCATAAGCTCCGCATGGTCCCGCAGAGGATTCCCAGAAAACCCCAATAAGGTCCAAAGCCGCTTCTAATGGGTCGCACGAGGATCACATCCACGTAGAAGTTCGGACCGCCCCCGTTCCAGGGTCGAATTGGGCCCGTCGTGGTGGCCTCGTGGAGGCTTCTTGTGGCGCCTGTTGGTTATCTGAAGCAATGTTTTGGCCATCCTGGACCATCTTGGCTCTATTTTGAAATGTATCTACACACGCGGGCAGTAGCGGGCGTTTGTGGAGGCCTTTCGGGGCGTGCCACAAACCGTATGTTTCTTTCTTTCTCCGGCGGCTGAGAAGAGCGGTTGGATGCAGAACAAGGCGACGAGACAACATCATCTAAGGCCCACTGTGTTTCACTTGATGCTCGGGTTAGGCAACTTCGTGAGGCCGTCTTGCGGGCATACTCGGGTTTCTTGGGGTTTATTGAGGGCCTATTGGAGACGTCTTGGGCAGTTTTGTAACTTGTGATGGGCCTCTTGGAAGTGATTGCGGGATCCAACGTGGATCCAATATTGAGGCCCAGTGTTGAAAGTGGTATGCCGTTCTTGGCGGACATGTCGTCTTGGACGTTACTGTGGAGTGAGCCTTGGACTCGGCAAATGAGTCAAACGTGTTGCCTGGGCCTCCCTGAGGAGGACGAGGAGGAAGAGGAGGAGGAGGTGGAGGGGGAGGAGGAGGAGCAGGAGGAGGAGGAGGAGCGACAACGCATGGGGCATGCTGAGGAGATGACGGGGGGGGGCCACAGCTTTGGCTGGCGCCCTATCGAAGAGAGCTCTCGCACGCCAACGGCCCTGGTGGGAGAGTGGTTCGCTTCGCGCCGCTCCAGATATTCCGCCGGCCCGACTTACAACTCGGAGGCCAGCAAACTCGATGGTGGCACGCGCGGTCAGAGGGGACAATGTCCGATCCGAATAGTGCGTCGACGGAGTGCTTCTTGGAAGGAGGCCATCCTCGACAATACATTTCCCCAGGGGAAGAAATGGCCGGAGGCAAGGGGAATGAAAAAGGGGGCCCTCAAAGCCCCAAGCAGAGGCCCCCGAGACGGCTCCAAGAGCCTACGGCTCTGGGGCGCCCAAGATGTCCCGTGGGGAGGGGCCCGAAGAGCCCAGCACAGCCCAAGACGACACGCACACGCACACACACACACACACACATCGACGGGTTTGGGCTCAAGCAGTTTGCCTCCGCAATGGGGGGCTCGAGGCCCTCTGATGCGCCGCCAGAGGGTGCGCACAAGCAGTCTGGCTCCGCAATGGGGTCCTCAAGGCCGCTTGATGCGCCGGCAGCAGGTGCGCGTGACATAGCGCTACCAGATTTTGGCACCGCGATCGCGCCACATACGCTCGAGCGCCTCGTGGTATCATGGCTGGACGAGGACGTGCCGACACTTGACATTGGCGGCCATGTTGTGGGTGACACCGAGCTGACGGCCACGCTGTATCGAAGATGCCGACGGCGAATCACCGCCTCCACCTGCCTTCCTGGAACTGTCGATGTGGCCAAACGTTGGGTCACAGCTTGGCGAAGCTAATGGACTACGTGCTCCTCCAGCCGTTGTGAAAACCCTTGGGGGACCACTTGGGGACGGCAAGAAGGTGGGAGGAAAATGATGATGCTGATGCTGCTGATGATGATGATGATGATGATGATGATGATGCTGATGCTGATGCTGATGCTGATGCTGATGCTGATGCTGATGCTGCTGCTGCTGATGGTGATGATGATGGTGATGATGATGGTGGTGGTGGTGATGATGAGGAGGAGGAGGAGGAAGACGATGAGTAGGACGAGGAGGCATCTTAGGGGCCATCCTTGGGCCTCCTGGGGGCTTCCTGGGGGCCTCTCGGGGTGCCTCTAAGGGGCCTCCTGGTCTTTGGAGGCCGTCCTGGGTACCTCCATGCGCCGTCATTGGGCCTTCTTGGGGGCGCTCTGGGGCCGTCTTGGAGGTCAGTGGGGCCGTCTTGGGTTGCCTGCTGGAGGCCTTTGGGGGGCCTTGTGGGGGCCTCTTTGGGGCTTCTGGGGAGCTCTTGGGGGCACGTTGGGGGTCTTGGGGGTCTTGAGGCTCTTGGAGGGAAAGACTCCCAAGGCTTTTTCGCTTTCCCCCTCTTGGGGGCCTTCTTGGGGGCCTCTTCGGCCATCTGAGGGCCGTCGTGGGGCAGTCTTGGGTGTTCCAGGGCCGTCTTGGGGCGATCCTGGGGGTCTTTTGAGCCGTCTTGGGACGCTGAAAGCCCGGGAAGCGGAACACGTCACCATCTTTCAAAGACCTCTGGAAAATCAATTGCTTGTGCCACATGGGAGCTTCTTGGGGGTCCTCTTGTGGCCTTCTCGGGGTCGTCTTGGGGGTCCCTTGAAGGCCGCCTTGAGTCCGCCTTGCGTGTGGGGCGCTCTGGGGCCGTCCAGGGACCCTCTTGGACCGTCTCGGGCGTCGCTTGAGACCCTCTTGGCCGCTCCTGCGGCCCTCTGGCCTACGGCGAAGTCACGCGGCCGGCCCAGGAAGTACAGTCGGGGCCCTGAAGAAGGAACCCTTTTCGTTGGGGAGGGGCTCCTCATTCCTTCAGTGTTTCACAGCTTGCCTCAGGTTTTCCTTGTGTTTCCGATCGGAAATCGAAGTTTAACGTATGGAAAAAAGGGGCCTCGTCCCTTATTTGGGGTTCCTTCGGTCAACGCCCCGACTGTCTGCGGAGAGCCCCGGGAGACTCGCGACAGGCCTGGGCCGCCGGGCCCCGACGGAGAGCACTTGAGATACAGTCGGGGCCCTGAAGAAGGAACCCGTTTCGTTGGGGAGGGGCTCGGCGTTCCCTGATTGTTCTGCAGTTTGCCTTTTGTTTTCCTGAGGTTTTCCATGGCAAATCGAAGTTCAACTTGTGGGAGAAAGGGGCCCCGTTCCTGATTTAGGGTTCCTTAGGTCAACGCCCCGGGGATATCGTGGCGGGGGCCATGAGATTTCCTCCGATTTCACGGCGCCTCTTCTCATTCCATTACGTCCCTGGCCCCCCCGCTGGGCCGCGCACATGCCGCCGGTCATGATTTGCACCCCCCCCCCCTCTTGGACACCCCCCTCTTGGCCGCTCCCGAGCCCCGAGGCACGGTGGCGGATTGCAAGGCAGCATCCGGTAAATGTGTTCTTTGTGGGCAGCCTTTTTTCGATGCGGTCTTCAAGTATCTCAATTGCAGGGTCGAGTGGGACACCTTCGCGAAGGAGGGTGAGGTGATAGACGCCACATGTGGAAAGCTGGCTTGTGCTACTGTCACGGGACCTGCGCGGAATCTGCTCCTGGGCGAGAGGACGGCGCTGAATGTTTTGTCACGCACATCGGGCATTGCCACGCGAGTACGCGGAGCTGTCAATGCCTGCCAGCAGAAGGGTTGGAAAGGCATGGTCGCTGGAACTCGCAAGACAACGCCTGGCTTTCGTTTGTGCGAGAAGTACGCTTGCATCGTTGCCGGAGCGGCGTCGCACCGTGACAATCTGTCTTCGATGGTCATGTTGAAGGATAATCACGTTTGGGCAACGGGATCAATTACTATGGCTGTAGAGAGGGCCAAGCGCTTCACCGGCTTCACAACAAAAATTGAAGTAGAAACAGATTCGCTCGAAAGTGCCAGGGAAGCAGCGTCTGCCGGGGCGGAGGTTGTCATGCTCGATAGTTTCAAGGCTGAGGACCTACATAAGACTGCTGCTGTTTTAAAGCAGGAGTTCCCACACATCATAGTGGAGGCATCTGGCGGAATCGAGGAGGGCAATATTGTTGATTTCATTGGTCCCGACATCGACGTTGTGTCCAAGTCTTGGATGCAGTCGTACGACGTGATCGACTTCAGCCTCAAGATCAACACTCCCAAGAGGCAGAGGTGCACGTAGAAGCAAATGTCCCCATGATAGCTCATTTCTTCCCTTGCTGCAGTTTTGAATACAATTTGCAATCGCGTCCGCCACGACCTCCGCGGCATGGAGTGCCGCGATCTACGTCTTTGAAGCTTGCTGTTTTTGAGCAATGCGGCAAATGCGTGACCAGAAAACGCCGTAGCACGACCGAAGCGATGCACATCGGCGCGGGCTGTGCTCCTTCAGGGGTGACGAGAGAGGAGGGGGGAGCGAGCAGAGAGGGTGGAGGGCGGCACGAGGAGGGAGGAGCGAATCGAGAAGAGGGGAGACAGAGGAGGTACGAGCGGGGGGAGGACGACGGAGAGGGGATGACATGGCCCCAGTGGCCGGGACCACATGCGCCCCCGCCACCCATTCCAGCACACCCCTCACACGTTTCGTGGCAAAGGGAGCGCCACCGAAAGCCCCAGTGGCTGTGGCCACATGCGCCCCCGCCACTCATTTCGGCACACCCTCACACGCTTCGTGGCCCCATAGGGAGCTCCACCGAAGGCCCCAGTGGCTGTGACTACATGCGTCCCCGCCACCCTTGTAGGCACACCTCTCACACGTTTCGTGGCCCCATAAGGACGCCACCGAAAGCCCCAGTGGCTGTGACCACATGCCCCCCCGCCACCCATGTCGACACACCCCTCAAACGCTTCGTGGCCCCATAGGGAGCTCCACCGAAGGCCTCAGTGGCTGTGACCACATGCGCCCCCGTCACCTATTTCGGCACACCCTCACACGCTTCGTGGCTCCCATACGGAGCTCCACCGAAGGCCCCAGTGGCTGTGACTACATGCGTCCCCGCCACCCTTGTAGGCACATCTCTCACACGTTTCGTGGCCCCATAAGGACGCCACCGACAGCCCCAGTGGCTGTGACCACATGCCCCCCCGCCGCCCATGTCGACACACCCCTCAAACGTGTCGTGGCTCCATAGGGAGCTCCACCGAAGGCCTCAGTGGCTGTGACCACATGCGCCCCCGTCACCTATTTTGGCACACCCTCACATGCTTCGTGGCTCCCATACGGAGCTCCACCGAAGGCCCCAGTGGCCGTGACCATGTGCGCCCCCGCCACCCATTTCGGCACACCCCTCACACGCTTCGTGGCCCCATGGAGCTCCACCGAAAACCCTAGTGGCTGTGACCACATGCGCCGCCGCCACCCTTGTAGACACACCCCTCACACGCTTCGTGGCCCCATAATGGGCTCCACCGAAGGCCCCAGTGGCTGTGACCACATGCGTCCCCGCCACCCATGTCGGCACACCCCTCACACGCTTCGTGGCCCCATAGGGAGGGAGAGCCACCGAAGAGGATACGCACCACTGCGGTACTCACATGCGGTTGGGTCCATCGCCGGCCTAATTGTTTGGTTTGGCTTGGGATACCACCCGACCCTAGTATACACATGGTGTTTTGTTATTGTTGTTTTCACGAGGTCCGCGCTGTTTGGCCAGGCCAAGGTTGCGGGCCTCTTGAAGGGAAACAACAAGCTGTGGATCGCAGGGCTTGGAGATATCTTTGACCAAGAAACAATCAACACATTTGTATACTAGTGTTTGGTGGCAATGCTTCTCCCGCAAGCCTTCCTGGCCAAGGGCTTGGTAGTATCCCCGACCCGAAAAAACAACGATCCTGGCGAAAAACCTAACCATATGCAGTTGTGAATGCCGCATTTGTGAGAAATGCCTTCGGTGGAGCTCCCTATGGGCATGAAGCGTACGAAAGGTGCGCCGCATTGGGGCGGGGCCGCCATGCGGGCGCTGCCAGAGGGGCCTTCGGTGGAGCTCCCTGTGGGGCCTGGAAACCTGCGAGGGCCGTGGAGCCAAAGTGGAGGGGGGGGGCATGCAAACCATGCCACTGGGGCCTTCGGTGGAGCCCCCTATGGTGTCACGAAACGTGCGAGGGGTGTGCCAAAGTGGAGGGGGGGCGGCATGCGAACCATGCCACTGGTACCTTCGGAGGCGCTCCCTATGGTGCAACGAAGCGTGTGAGGGGTGTGCCAAAGTGGAGGGGGGGCGGCATGCGAACAATGCCACTGGGACGTTCGGTGGAGCTTCCTATATTGCCACGCAGCGTGCGAGGGGTGTGCCAAAATGGAGTGGGGCGGCATGCGAACCGTGCCACAGGGGCCTTCAGTGGAGCTCCCTGTGTAGCCGCGAAACGCTTGAGGGTGTGCCAAAGTGGATGGGGGGCGGCATGCGAGCCATGCCAGTGGGGTCTTCGGTGGAGCTCCCTGTGTAGCCGCGAAACGCTTGAGGGTGTGCCAAAGTGGAGGGGTGGGGCGGCATGCGAATCATTCCACTGGGGCTTCTGGTGCCATGAAACGTTTGAGGGGTGAGCCAAAGTGGAGGGGGGGGGCATGCAAACCATGCCATTGGGGCCTTCGGTGGAGTTCCCTATGGGGCCACGAAGCGTGCGAGGGCCGTGCCAAAGTGGAGAGGGGGCGGCATGCGAACCATGCCACTGGGGCCTTTGGTGAAGCTCCCTATGGGGCCAAGAAGCCTGGAGCCAACATCGGTGCGTTCCCCCAAGAACGCCGATCACGACATGCCTGATGTGATCGAAGACGACCGATTTTTCCGCCGGCGCTCGGTGCAAAAGCATTGAGGCCACTAAGTGCTCCCTCTTGGGACGATGTTCGGATCAGGCGTGAGAGTGTCAACGGCCTTTGCGTGCGATTGTACGTCTCGCGCGCGAGCCTGGCACGTGGTTTGATCATTGTGTTCGGTCAGGGCACGGAGCTACCCCGCGACAGAGCAAAGCCATCGATGTTTCGTCTGGATTTCTCCGGGACCAGAAAGATAAGCAGGAGTTGCTCGACTGTTGCGTACGGAAGATCAGTCGGTCCCTGTTCTTGTTTTGGCAAGGTTTGGCCAGATTGTCACATGCGACACCTTCGAAGTGAAATCCTTCATGACAGGCCAGCTTGGGAGTACTCAAAGGTTCATTGAGGTATTCCTTCTGACAGGGCGGACGCACGAAGGTGAGGAACTACCTAGCCTTCGAGGGGCAGCCTTATGTTCTTCGTGCTGTGATTCTCAACTTTGGAATGCTCACCGTGGTGGGATCGCGAGGCGTCTTGCTTCTTCGGAGAAGGGGCTCATGTTCTTGACCCGCAGTCTTGTGGCAATGCCCCCGCTGTGACATCAGCATGTGGATGGGCACCGTTGCACGACGACGCGCCACCGTACAACGTTTGTATTTCAGGAGGGAAAGAAACACACAGACACAATTAATCGTCGACTCCCCAGGAAGTATAGGAAAATGTGGGAAGTGGGGGGGGGCAGAAAAAAAGCCCAGAAAATTGGGGAAACTATGGGGGATACTTTTATTAGTGTGTATTTATGTGTGTGTCCTGGGGCCCCTTCAGTACTGCATGTGTCTACACGTCGCCTACAGCACTGGCGCTATGCTCGCGCAGTGCACTGCATGCCAACACCCTTCTCCGATGGGGCTTCCGCAGACGGCCGAGCGGCACAGCGGCAGTGCCGCGGCTTCGCGGCGGGGTCCCCCTCTCGTGCCCCCCTCCGTGGTGCGCCTCCGTGCAGCTCCCTTGCCCTGCCGCCGCTGCGCCGTTTCGCGCGTGTGCAGTCCCCTCTTCGACGCCACTACAGTCGGGGCCCCAAAGAAGGAACCCTTTTCGTTGGGGAGGGGCTCCGCGTTCCTTAAGTGTTCCGCAGCTTGCCTCAGGTTTTCCCTATGTTTTCGATCGGAAATCGAAGCTTAACTTCTGGGAAAAAAGGGCCTCGTTCCTTATCTAGGGTTCCTTAGGTCAAGGCCCCGACTGTACTCTCTCTGAGCGTGATAACCAACAACGTCGCAGTGAAAGTTGCCTAAACCCCCTCTCTACTGCAGCCGACCAGGGAGGACGTGGAAGAGGACGAGGAGGAGGAGGAGGAGGAGGCTGCGCATGCCCGATGAGGAGGACGAGGAGGAAGAGGAGGAGGACACCGCCGAGGGGGCAGAGACTCTCCAGATAGAATTGTATTCGCAGGTCGGCAAGGAGCTGCTGTGCAGCATCTTCGCCGGCGGCAGATATTCGCCAGTGCAGGATCTCCCAGACGAGGGCTACCGCCTGGCTGAGCAGGCCCCTGTCGCACCTCTTTTTTTTTCGCAGTGAGGAATTGTCTTGTGCTCTGGCCTTTTGCGTTCCTTCCCACTCTTTGACCCTGTCGCGTTCATGTTGTAAGGCTTAGGGTTGCGCACAGACAGCCCTCGCAGGCAGTCCTGGTTGGGTTCAGCAGGCCTCCCCCCGAGTAGACCGGGGCGCTGCTCATCACTGGCGCCGCCTCCGGCGGCGCGCCTGGGGCGTTTCGCGCCACAGGGTTGGGGTGTTGAGACCGCCCCTGGCTGCACGGTAGGCCTGCTGAGGCCCGGCAGGGCTGCCTGGTGAGGCTGCCCGTGCGCAATCCCAAGCTTTACGACGTTCATGCGCATGCAGATGTGGGGGCGAGGCAACGTCGCGATGCGCAGCAGTCAAACCACGTCCTGCTCTGAGTGCGGGGGCGGTCTTTCATTGTGACGTTCCCCAGCCGGTTGACCTCAGCACCGGTGCTCGGACAGAAAGTGTCCACACCCACGGCGTGAGGACACGATGGCATGATATCAGCAATAACTGGAAAGGTGCCTATGCCTCACAACCCTCCCTCAGAATCCAAAGCTGAAGTGTCCACATTTTTTGTCTCTCGCGAGTTGCCTTGCGCTGGCCCCTACAATTTTGGGTTTTGGGGGAGGGGGCTAGGGGTACGAAAGTCGGTATGACGTGCAGTGCCGTCGCGTTGTCTTGGGCATCTTGCCTGAGCACCGTGTTGGGAAGGTAGGTGGTTTTTGGGGGCGTTCGCATTTAATATTGCAAAGTTTATGCGCATGCTGCTGGTGTATTACTGCTGCGTGTGAGAGCAATGCTGACGCCAAGGACGCTGGTGGTATCAATGATGCTGGTGACGTTGGTGCTGTTAACGATGGTGCGTGTTGTGATCGGTTTTGGTGATGATTGTGGTGGAAGTGTTGGCATCTAGAGGGTGTTTTCTTTTTGCTTGATGGCGGCGGTGATGATGCCGTGCGTGGTGCTGGTGAAAGCGCGCGCGCTGGTGTCAGTGAGGGTAATTCAGGAGGGAAAGAAACACACAGACACAACTAATCGTCGATCCCCAGGAAATATGCGAAACTATGGGAAGTGGGGGGGAAGACGAAAACCCAGGAAATATGGGAAAATATGGGGAATATGTTGATTTGTGTGTATTTATTTGTGTGTGTGTGTGTTCTGGGGCCCCTTTAGTAATGGATCGCGCTCGGGCGGCACCGCGGGCGCCTCCACAGGGAAGGCGGCCGGCCAGCATGCGGCCCCGCGGGAGCCTCTTTACACCCCGAGGGCCCCGAGGACCCGAGGAAGCGCTGGGACGCCCGAGGGCTCCCACAGATCGACGAGGAGCGCGCCCCGCCACAGTGAGCGGCTCGAGTGAGGAACAGTTGCTTTTCAAAAGGGGCTCGGTCGTTCCCTAGGCTTGCATGCGTTGTCCATCGTTCCGTATGCGTTTTTCATGATTCATCTTTCCTTATGCACTGTTCTCTGGAAAACAAAGGGGCTTCGTTCCTTATTTATCGTTCCTTAGGTCAGGCCGATGACTGTACCCCTTGCAGCAATGTTTCTTCTCGTATGTGCCTGCTGTAGCTAAGTAGGCCGTCGATCGGGCTCTTCTCGTCTCTGGTGCAGGCGGGGGGGGATCGGACTTGACACTTTGCTTTCCTGGCCTCGCGGATGGCACCGTCCCTTGGCGCCGGCTTCGACATGCACAGCGCTGGTGCCGAAGACGCCTACGGCGAATCACCGCCACCCGCTGCCCTTTCGGGAAGTGCCTCTGTGGCCAAACGTTTGGCGAAAGCTTGGCCAAGCAACTGGACGAGGAGGAGGGGGAGGAGGAGGGGCAACTGGACACCGTGCGGCTACACGGATAACCACAAGGCGCAAGCAAGAGAGGTGAGGAGGCTTCTTTGGCAGAGGAGGCACATACGATCAGAGTTTCAACATGTGCAGATGAGTCCATCGGAAGTTGATGGCGGCAGGCCACAAGATGATGGAATGAGGAAGAGTCGCGGCGGCGATTATTCCAGTGGTTGGCAGGACAGGATCATTGGGTATCGAGAGCGACGATAGCAACGGCATCTCATTCTAGTTCCATATCACGATCGCAGAGAGCAGCCCACATAGTTCTTAAATCTTGGCTGGGGCCCAGGTTCCGACGTCGCTACGCGAAATACAAATCAGAACGCAAGCGGCGGTGAACAGGAACAGCCTCATAATTGCACTGGTGAGGATGTGCCGAAAACATCACAGAGTTGCACCCAGATGTGTTCCAAGTCCTGGCTGGAGCACAGGTTCGACGTCGCCACGTGAAAATCCGTAAGAACGCACAGCATTCACATGTGATGGTGTCTGATGCGGATACTTCGGCAGCTTCGCAGAGAGCCACCCTGATAGTTTCTCCATCCTGGCTGGCGCCCAGGTTCGACGTCCCCACGCGAAATACACGTCAGAACGCCAACGACGGTGAACGAGAACATCTCTGGTGTAGACGACAACATCGCAGAATGGCACGCATATGTCCTCCAAGCCCGAGCTGGAGCCCATGTTCGGCGCCGCCACGGGAAATACAAATCAGAACGAGTACGACACAGAACTGGATGAACAATTTGTTGCTTCGACTACGTCGTGTCAGCAAGTGGCTGAGGCAGCAACGGCAGCAGTACTGGAGGTGGGTAGAAGCAGTGCGATGTGAGGAGTTCATGCGGGCGTCGGAGGAGCATGACTTCTACACGGTGCACAAGATGGCGAGGATGTTGGCACAGAGGCGAAGAGGAGGACGCAAGCGGGCATTCGGCCGACATAGTGCACCAGGCACCCATGAGGACTGGACTCAGAAGATGAGGAAGCCAGGACCCGAAGGAGGATGCAGAGCTGAGGACGTGACACTTGATTAGGTACGTGAGCGACGAGGGCGAGTGGTACGACATATTTTGACGGGCGAGAAGGCCGAGGAGGAAATGAAGGGGATCAAAAGGGCCATGGGGAAGGCCCGGCTGCGGAGAGCGCACCCGGCATGGAGGTCGAGTTTGGGGTTCGCGCGATGCGTTTTCTTCCCCCAGTGGCTGCATGAAAGACGGTCTTGCAGGAGGCGACCATGATTACATAGGTGCCCAGTGGATTGGTTGACAGCGAGGGCCGCGCAGATCAGCAAGGGAATCGAGAAGGAGGGAGCGGGCGGCGAAAAGATGGTGAGGATTGCCTGTCGTATAGCAAAGGGTAATTACCGACACATTCTGATTAATGCAGAGACTAGGTGCGCGCCGCCATGGAACCGTGGTGCATTAAAGCATCGGCGGCGGGAGGGAGCGATCGTCGTGCAGTTGCGTGGGCCTTGGAGGATGAAGTCGATGGGGATGCAACGCGCTAAGAGATTCACGACGCTGCGAACTCGTTCTTTCCCATAAAGACTGGCAATTTGCTCGAGATCGCCTGTGCACGCATCAAGTAGGAGCATGTCACGTTGATGTTAGGTCGGGCTCGTTTCGCTCACTTCGCGCTTGCTGAGGCCACCGATCTCATGTCGCTGGTGGGGGAGCTGCATGCCAGGAGAACCAGCAATGGCACTTCGCTGTGGCATGGCGCACGTTCGAGGGCTCGAAGAAAACGCGCTGAAGGCGAGGGACGTTCTCGATGCAACGTCGCCCAGGACAGGGAAGGAGGAGCAGGCAGCTACGAGTTTAGTCCCGGATGATGTCTCTGACGCGTTCAGGTTGAATAGAACGAAGGTGTGCGTGTGTGTGTGTGTGCGTGTGTGCGCGGGGGGGCACATGTGGAGGGCGAGATGCAGAACCGCGAGATCACGGGATCGCTTGGCGTAGCGAGGCTGGCCCAGAACATCAGCAAACAGGAGGCGACCCCACGCGCTTATGGGAGAGGCGCATAGCAGCTTGAGAAGACGATCCGATGCGACGTGGTTTATGAGGGGCACGCAGCCGCAGCAGCAGTACGCTACCTAGGAGTGAGGATGACGGAGCGTTTTTCTATCCGAGTCGAGGCGTGTGGCATTGCATTCGCGCAGGAAAACGGCGCGGGCGGCGATGGGAATTGCCCTGGCCTCTGGCGCATCGCAGAAATTGAAGATAGCTATATTTAAGGATATGTTTCAATGCGGCGTTGTCGGGCACCGAGACTTTCGTAAAACTCCGGGGCCCAATGAAGGCGCAGGATTTTGCACGGCCCGAAGGATGCCCTGCTCGAAGAGGTAGGGGGCGCGGCTGTTCACCGCCAAAATCGCCCCCGGAGAGCCCCCAGTAACCTAGAACTACTTGCAAGAATCGGTCGTGCCAGTCTTTTCGCGGAAGCGCGCATTCGGTTGTTAAAATGGCCCCAGAGTTCGTTGTCGGATATGGTCTGGGCCGATCAGCTCCTAGACGTTGTATCCGGGGAGCTTCGGAGCGGGGGCAAGGTGGGCGAGGTTTTTGAGGAAACGGACCAGGTATTGGACCCATGGGCCGAGCAGCGGCTGCAGAGCGCGCAGGGGCTGTCGATTCGCGATGACGTCTTCTGTCGCATTACGATCAGGATCCAGGCAGGGCGCTCTTGGACGGGGAGAGAGGAGTGCATCGAGCTCGACTTGGAGGGCGCGCGCGCGTCGCGCGTCGCAGAGCTGAGCGCGAGCCCGAGCGAGCTGAGCCGCCGGCAGGCGGTGAGCTTCAGCGTTAAGCGCACGATGAGAATGGCATGCCATGCGAAGCGCGTTCCCCAGACAGAACGGGGCTTGCGTCACGCTGCGCCCGCGCGCGGGGTGGCGCGCGCGGCAAGATGGCAATGTTCCGCGCGGCCTGCTTCAGCAACGCGTGCGATATGTGCCGCGGTATTCTCTAGCTACGCGCGGGCCCAGAAGCGCGCGCAACGGGCGCTCGAGATGGGAATTCGCGCTGCTAACGCTTGGTCGGGAAACGAGACTCGCGTGCCTAGCGCGCGCTGCGATTTATGAACTTATAGCGGATGAGGGCCAGGAGTTGTGTCAGCGTATACTGCGCGGCCATTTGGGCCAGCATCTT